GAATTGCACTTTCTGAGCATCGGTGCAATTCATCACTCGAAAAATATTTTCAATGGCCTTCAACCACTCTTGAGCTTCTTCGGGCGCATGCTCTCCTTTGAAAGTAGGCGGGTTGTTTTTCTGAAACTTTCCAAGAGCACGGAAAGCATCATCAGCTCCACCATGTGGCACCAGATTAGCTTGCGGCATCTGATTCAAGGATCCCGCGAGCAATCGCAATGCCTCAGCAAGTGCATTATCATTCCTCCCAGCAACCATCTTCTTTTGAACAACACAAAAGTATCGATCGCGTCAGATACACAATCAAATACACAATCAAATACACTAGGATTAGTAACATTAAGACTTGACAACTGACCGACAATGCTCTGATACCACTATTGTAACACCCCTTCTAAAAAATCCTGAATTAAACGATATAATTAAAATCAGAGAAAATAAAATTTGCACAGAAGGAGTGTCACAACATCAATTCACATATTCAAGAAAAACGGACATGACATATTCGTCACTTTGATCATTTAATCACATAATACATTCATGGCATATACTTTCTTTTTCGTGCAAACGCAACAGAATCATAATAACTTCATCTCCAAAGGAGGAATCAAAATATAAAATTCAAGGCATTAAGCCATACGGTTCATACACCAAACATGTTATCAAGTCAGAATATACATACATCAACATAAAATCAAAACAATAGATTATATACAAGTATAATCCATATACAAAATATCTGAGTTCGAATGCGGACACCTAACCCTCAAGTGTTACAACCAGAGCATCAACTCGATAAACCAAAATAAAACAGATTACAATCCAAATGCATCCGCTAAGCTAGTGCCTCGCACTACTGTCTTCGGTACCTGAACAAAGCCGTAGCAAGCATTTTCCAACAGAAGGGTAAGAATTCCAACAAACATAAGGTATGTAATTTAAAGCAAATGAAAGGCATTAAATAAAGGAATCTTACTCTTTTTCCAACTCTTGCATAAAACACATAATATATTCATTTAATCCAATTTCCATATTCAACAACTCAAAGAAATCAAACACAATCAATTTTATTTACCAATTAGCACATAATGCATAATATTCAACAAAACATCAGCTTAACAAAGTGTGTATGTGCGACTCGACACAATGACACGAATCATGCATGTGGTACCAATTATCTATTATCCTTCGAATTTACCGATTGTCTATCCCTCAGACGGATAATCACAAAGCCCATTCCCTAAGCTTTCAAACCCCCACTCTGAGTTTGGGACGAGCCACTAGCCTCCACGGGACTAACGGGCATCGCCTCTTGACACGACTTATGATGCAGTGTGCAATTCAACAACAACAATTATGCAAATCAAGACATTCCTCTATCTCAATTACAAGCATACATCACCATAATTCAACCATATGAATTAATCTCACAATATTGCACAACTAACATCATTTATTTCATTTCAACAATTATCACACAATACCAAAATATTTATAAACCAAACACATTATTTCCGGAATCGGAAATTAACCAAATATCTCGAAAATACAACACACCTACAATTTAATTAATCTCCAGTCGAACTCAAAATATTAAGTTTTACCCATTAATCGTAACCGGTTATATTAATTAATCACACAACAACATAACATTTATAAACCGAACATATTATTTCCGGAATCGGTATTTCACAACACATTTCCAATATACCACACATCTACAATTTAATTCATCTCCGGTCGAATCCAAAATATCAGATTTTATCGGTAAACCATAACCAGTTATATAATTAATCACACTGTTAATTATAATATATATATTAATATATTAACTAAACTATTTTACTTATATATATAATATAAAACTAACAGTATATTAGTTAGAAATTTATATATATATATATATATATATATATATATATATATATATATATATATATATATATATATATATATATATATATATATATATATATATATATATATATATATATATATATATATATATATATATATATATATATATATATATATATATAATTAATGAAAATTAATATTTTATTAAACTAATTTAATATAATTAAATAAATACTATAATAACATTTTCTATTTCTCTTTTACCATTTTCCGGTCTCAAAATACACAGACATTTCTTATTTAACAGAAACATATATATTTAGTGACAATTTCTACAACACTATAACCTAATTCCTAAATTAATTTCTTAATCAAATGCTATAAATAACATACAAGATATTTAGAGGAAGTCTAACCCTTACCGATTAATCTCTGGAACGAGCTTTTCGGTTGATTTCGGAAATTTCTTCCTCTCCTCTTCAACCCTAATTTTCTCCCTTTTTCCCTTCTTCTTCTCCTCTCTATCTCACTTCTCTCTGTTTCTAATTTTTTCTCCTGATAACTCTCTCTTACTATCTAACTACTACTACTTATTATATTTATATAAAACTAACTTATATAATTAAATAAATATTTTAATAATTCAATTATCACTAATTAATCGATTAACACACATATTAATATATACACATCAAAAATACGATATTACCATATAAAAGTAATCATTTTTCGATAAACCGAATAAACCAAAATAATCAACTACCGGACCGAATAACCGACTAAATAAATATCAACCGGCCATTTTTAGAAAATAATAATATAAATAATATTAATTAAAACGGGGTGTTACATGTCGAGGAGTATGATTTAGTTTTATGCAGTCCTGGTTGTTGTAGATGTCAAGGGGCACGTAGTTCCCTATCCCTTTTTGCTCGTACGTGCTGTGTTTTGGTCGTTACCAGTGTTGTGCGAAATTATTGTTAAGTTGTTGTTTAATTATGTTAATGATTGAATCGTGATTGATGTGATAGGCTTATGGCCAACATTGTTTTATGATGATTTATGTTGAATTATGATTAAGTTAAGTGTTTATGCCAATGATGTTGTGTTGTCATGATTGTTGTTGTGAATTCTTGTTGATAATGCGAAGTTGCAGGGATATTGTAAATGATGATGAATTACCTCTATTTACTGGTAATAATGGTGATGTGGGCTTATGCCTTATGATGATGATGATGATTGTTGTGAGTATGTGATAGTGTATTCATATACATTTGTATACTCTATGATGGTCTGGATTGGAAAACTGCAAAGAAGGCTTATACCTTGTTGATGCCTCTATTTATTGGCAAAATTTTAAGATGGGAGTTTTGCTCCATTTTTAAGATGGGAGTTCTGCTCCAATGGTACCGCATGCATCCGCATAGTATTGAGCCGCATGCCAAGTAGTTTGATTGAGCTGTTGTGCTGATGAATTAATTGTTGTATGTTGTTGATAGCCTGTTGTGATTGTTGTTGTTATAAGTTGTTAAGTGGTGATTTTTGCATGAACTGATTCTAATATGATATTTGTCATACATTCGATTATATTTTTTGATATCTCACCTCTTCTGTTTGAATATTACCCTTATGTTGGTAACGTGCAGGTAATCCAGAGTGAAGGCGGTTTACCTTCAATAGTTCGAGTCGATGTCATTGCTCTGATACGTAACACTCGGGGGGATGAACGCTTGTTATTTATTTGTTATTATTATTTCAGTTATTGAACTTTAAGTTGATTGTTGTTAAGTACTTGTTATTCAGAAGTTGCTTTCATGTTGGATAAAGACGTTATTATGATTCCGCTGCGTAGTTGTTCAAGTTGTTGAATTAAAAGATTAATTTATTTTGTTGTTGGTTCATCTGAAATTTTAAAGTGTTATGTATTCATGTTAAATGCAATGGTTTTTAAGTTGAATTTGTGGCATCCTGATTCAGTTGTATAATCTTTATAACTCTGATTTACATTTATATTGTCGGGTAGAATTGGAGTGTTTCAAGTTAGGGTTTCTCTATTGCTTTGAGGCTCTCATCTTCATTCAAGGGTGATTCAAGGGGTTTCTTCATCAATTATGGTTGGAAACTAAGGTTTTGGATTCATGATCATTGTCGACTTCTGTTTCCTCAAGCAACAAGGTTTTCCTTTATCAAGACTCATCGAGAGCAAGTGGATTATGATTTTCATTTGTGTGAGTTAGGGCTTGGGTTCTTATCAACATCTAAATATCATTTCTTCATCAATGTGCATCCCAAGGAGGAATAAGGTTTCATGTCAAGGTCATCTTGAGCATTTTTCTCTAAATAAGGATTATCTTCATGTCAAGGCATTTATTCTTGTGTTGAGTTCCTCGATTGGGAAAGGGATTTGTCTAAGCGAAGGGTGCATTAATATTTCTTTGAGAATCTATTGATTCAAGGCATTCTTTTGGTTTGAGTCACAATTGTGATCAAGGAGAAGATTGTGCATCAAGATGTTATTGTGGAGTTGAGATAGAAACATAACATAGAAGTTTATTGGATGCATTTTCTTATGGAGAACAAATATTAATTCAGGGTCTTAATTTCATGATTTGTCAATGGTCGATTCAAGATAAAGTTGGAAGATTCATTCATATTGTTCTCTTGGTATACAAGTTACAAATTTGCAAATAATTATAGGTTCAAACATCATTCAAGGCATGTCCATTGTTTGTTACCTGTCATGCAAGTTATTTGAGGAGTTAAATTAGGGTTTCATTAGTTTGGAGATGAATTTGAGAAATTAGTCCCATGATTCCACTGTTTAAAATTTATTCAAGTGATCAAAAATTTATGGACATTATGAATTCATAGTTCAAGCAATTTCTATAGTTCAATTGTAAAAGTCCAAGTAAAGTGATTCATGATGCCATTCAGTTTCATTAGGCAAGGTTCATGAGTTCATTAAATTTTTTTGTCATTTGAAGTACAAATTACATTAACCGCATCCATAAATTCATTCAACTTCCATCCTAGGATTTCATCCAAAATTTATCCCTGTTTCTTTCCAAATAACAAGAGAAAGTTACAATTTATAAAGGAAAATTATAAGAGATGACAATAATCTCTAAGTTACATAAGTCCCTTCAATTTTCTTCAAAAATCTCTTCATTTATCTCCATGCGACATTGGTTCTCAAGCCCCCATGAATGAGGACTTACTTGTATCCTCATGCTACCACCATCATTATCGAACTGCCGACCTTCAAGATCCCTTCGCATTACTTCCGTCAAGGCCATGGCACTATGCTTCCACGACCTGTCAAAACAGTTCCAAGGAGAAACTTGCACCAATGTCCAACAGCTTATTATACCTACAAAATATCATCATCACTAATAGTTCAGTCATAGCAAAACCAAAATGCAATTGGAATCAACATGTTGCGAACTCAACTTTATTCACATCAATATGACATCAATGCAAGCCAACTTACTACAAAAGAATCAATTCAAAAAAGGGGAACAATACCACACCAGTACAAGCAGTTCAGAAAAAGGCATACAGTTCGACATACTGTCATGACAGTCCAAGGACGTACAACAATCAGCATGCCAATTGAATAGAACATATAAAAACTTAGCTTGCAATAATACCCAGACCTGCTCCAAATTTGCAACCAGCCACATTGAATATTATGTCGTCGCCATACCCGCATCAACAACATAAACATGAACACAAAACGCAGCAAATCAGAAAATGAGAACAAAATTAAAACATAAAATCATTAATAGTCCATGGAAGTTCCTAATAAGCTAACCGATCCTACCAGCTCATCATAATGGACATAACGGATTTTTAAGCTCTCAAACTAACTCCACAAATGACTCAATCCCAACCCTTAGATCCTCTAACTGAATCCTTGATCCAATGGCTCTGAGAGCTTCATCTGTAACTAACTTCTCCCTCTTCATCAACCTATAAAAGGTGCCACCTTCTTCTTCATTGATCATTCTTCATCATTTCTGGAGAACCACCTTCAAGATTTCTCTCAAGTTCTCTCTTCAAACTCTACAATCTTCTCTCTATGCAAAACTGCACCTCAGTTATCTTCTTCAACCTTCATCTTCTACAACAACTTCATCGCAGCACAGCGTCATCATCTTCTTCAACACGCTTCAACCTTCATCAACACAACAACACGAACACAACAACACGAACACAACAATACAGCAACGCAGAAGAAACAAAAATGTAGACGAAGAAGAGATGAAGTAGAACAGAACAGAGAAGAGAAAGAAAGTGTCATGGAGAAGATAAGCAGAAAGAATTGGTACCTGTAATCGATGTTGGAATCTCCCCTCTGGCCTTCGATACTCGCACCTTCAAGAGCTTTGCAGGTAAGTGCATTCGTCTTTTCCGATTCTTCGTCATCTCTTTTCATCCTTTCTCGGTGTTATAGCGCAACGTAATGATCATCAAGCCTTAGCCTAGTATATCATTCCATGATTATAGGACTTGATTGTTGGTTATCTGTTTTAGAATTAAGTTTGGACGTAGAATTAGGGATTTGAGATGGTTTTTTGTTGAAAACAAAGTTTGAATCCGTGAGAAGAGAGAAGGATGAATTGACCGATGTGTGTTTTGTGGTGGCCGGATACAAGAGCATGGCGGTGGCGAGTGAAAAGAGAAAGGTTGAACGATGAAGATGAGAGACAGAGGGAAGCTTCATGTTTGAAGATATGTGAAGAGTCACAAGGACCATACGACACCGTTCCAGCTTTAGTTTTTAATTTCTTTAAATTTTGTTTAATTCAATATCAATAAAAACAAATAATAATATGAATAATAATGTTGATTAATGGAGATTAAAAAAAAGCTGATGGTGATATGTTATTGAACTCAGTTTGTGAACCCTACGGCCTTCCTTGCCACGTTCAATCATAAGCCCACTCCACCATTTTTTTGGCACACTGAAACTAAAGCAAACAATATAACTTCTGCCTCACTCTCTGTTTGAGCCTGGCCCCATTATTACTGGGCCAAACACCATGATTCTGCATTGCACCCCTGACTCATCTATTTTTCATTTGATTTTAGTTTTAGTTTTATTCTTCTCCCTTTGATTTTTGACAACAAAAATATAATAATAAAATGTAGTAAAAACAGTAGAATATTTTAGGATTTTAGGAGTTTTTTTTTAGAATTTAATTTTTTACATTTTTTGTCATGCTATTTGTAACAATTGTTGATGCAAATTCTTGGTGTGATATTGAGTGAATTATGTTTGAATAATTGTTTAGTTGATTCTTGATAGCATGCTTCCTTAGTATTTTTCTATTTCAATTTAATCTTAGATTAAATTTGAAATATGGATTAGATTAGTTTTATCTAAGCATGATAACATCCAAGTAAAATTTTCCTTGATCCCAACCTTAGACACACAAAGCATGATAATATTATGGTAGATTTTCCCTTTTGTTTTTGCTTTTCTCTTTTGCATATCATTTTTTTTCTAAAGACAAACATTTTCTTAATCAAAATTAAAAAACATTTAATAATTAAGAAGAGAATCGTGTACTATTGAGTCTTATGTAAAAGAGTGAGGCAATATATTTCTAACCTTGCTCTTCTTCCATTCATGGACTTTAATGTGATTCAATTCGCAAACCATTTCAAAATTAAAGGTGGAGAAATAGCTACGTACTCCTGTACTGGGAGTCATTTACTACTATTCCCAACAAAACACTTCAACAAATTCAAACTTTTTTGCCTCTTAGCTTTTCTCTTTGAAAATCTTTTCAAAAGGGCATGTTAATTTCGTTTACCGCAAACAGGTAACGCGTGAGTCTCCATACAGTGAGCAGCAACACTTATTGCTAGAACGTGAATGTTAACATCCTCCACTAAAAAAACACCAAACAAATTAACATTTTTTAAAGAACTACGGAGTTTTGATTTCTTCATTGTACTATGGAGATACGTAGGAACTGAGTTGTAAAACCTGGACGAACTCAATAACAAAAACTTTTCTTTTTCTCTAATAATTCAGTCATGCATTTCTTAGCAAGTAAGCTTTAGATAGACACACCCTTATAAACAAATAACCAAAGTGGATCCCGTTGAGTATAACAGATGTGATGGGTGCTAATACATTTTCCCTTGTATAATGACTTCTGTATCATTTCTCTTGGTCTTAATACCATATTATCCTTCCTTTTGGGTTTTCTCGATATTTCTCCTTTCTTCAGAATAAATAAAGTTCAGTGGCGACTCTGTGTGTTTTTTCGCAGTGCGACAACGGGATGGTAACCAATTACAGTTGGAAATAAGATATTTTGGAAGGCAAATAAGTTGTTTTGTCGTGGTATGTAACCGGTTACACTAACATGTTAATCAGTTACATCATTCTTGTTTTTGGTTCTATTTAGCTGTGGTAACCGATTAACGATTTATGTTAACCGGTTACCAGCCTAGTTATTGACTTTTTAGGTTGCTTTTTTTTTTTTTACTCCCAATCATTTTGTAACACTTGTAATACTTGTATATATGTCTTGGAAATATATCATCTCAAAATTAATGTTAATTTCGATTCTCAACCTCAAACATACACTCTCTCTTTCAAAACCTTTTATTAATTTATCAATTGTGTAATTGTATGCTTTAACACAAAAAAATAAATTTTTATAAAATGTGTTTAGTTAATATTTTAAAATTTTAGGAATCTTTCATTTTTAAGTTCTTTTTAATTAACAATATATTATAATTAGAAATAAAAAATAATTATAAAAATAAAATAGTGTGTAGTAGTGGAAGTAACCAATTATTTTTACATAAAATTTAATGGTAACTGTCTGAAATTATATTTTTTTGGAACAATTTTGTATTCCTTTCTAACAAACATATGTATTTTAATTTCCAATCAAATTCTCAAGAATATATTTCATATCTATGAAACAAACACACCTTTAAACAGGATTTTGACTACTCAATCTTCATTACTTGCGATATCATATCACATATACGGTTAGGTATGACAATAAAACTCGTACTCACAGATATCCATCCTAACCCGTCTTGAAGTTGATGGAGAAAATCTGTTTTGACTGAATTTGAGTTTTCCTCGATTATAAAATATGGGGACGAATCAGATAATAAGGACAGTAGTACCCACCCCGAACCTGCTTCTGAATCCCTCTGTTTATTTTATTATGTACATTATTATTTAGTTGTTATAATTTAAAATATTAAATATATGACTAATATTTTAATATTTTAATTTGTATTTATTTTTTAAAATATTTGAAATACATGTATGCAACTTTTTGAATTTATTTTATTTTATTATTTATAATATAATTTAATTTAAAAATAATAATATTTCTCTTAAAAAAATTAAGGTGGCGAAGTGAAAATATCCAAACTCAATCTAAATTCCTTTGAGACGGATTTAAGTTTTTATTCTTTATTTTCATTAAAATTTGAAACAGAAAATAAAAATTATTTAAAAATTTAAATTTAAATTTGAATATGAAGAGGTAAAATTCATCTCTGACCCGTCCAATTACTGATGCCTATATACCCCATTTCACATTTGAAGTATAATGAGTTGAAATTAGCACGATTTTTATTGATAGGGTCTACTGGGCCTACTAGGTTTATGTGTATTAATGATTTTCTTACGAATTATTACTCTTGGCAAATACTTGCTCTAATAAGTAATATCGTGTGAAAAGTCAATTAATGTATTTTCAATCTAATTTTAAACTTTATCATATTTTTTGCAAAATAGTTTGTCTAAACTTATTATTTTGTAATTTTGATTTGAAAATGAAAGTAAACTTGTTGTATTTGCTACTCATAACGATTTTTATACGAAAGGTGTTAAATGTCAAACCTTATTTTTTGTTTTTGTTTTTTATTGGCAAAAAAAAGCGAAATTTTTTTTTTGATAAGAACTGACATCTCAATTAAATTAAAACTTCAATTTATCACATATCTTTATAATCTGTATTATTTATTTAAAAAATAAAATAAAAGGTACAATCTCAAAATATTAGACCAAAAACCAATGACAAATAAGAATCTCACGAAAGTAAAACCTTAATAATTCTGATATTATTCTCACAAGAAATCGAATTCTGTATTATATTAAAATGCATTATTGATAAAATAAAATCAAGAAATAAAAGACAATTAACAAATCATGTACTTAATTAGTTCAAATTTATTTTTATTTTTATGAAAACCTTGCTAAAAGTTTATTTTACATAAATTTTAATTGAGTCACATAACGAATATGCTATCGTAAACCTAAAAGACTAAATAATATTTTGAAAAATTATTAAATATTTATTTAGAAATTAGTTCAGATATCAATTTATAATTTAGAGTTTAAGATTTTGTTTGGTAAAATTAGCTAGTAATTGGTAGCTGATATTTGATAGTTAATAGTTGATGATTAATAGGTTATAGTTGATGGTAACCGAGAAATTAATTTGAGTATTTGATAAATTAACTATTACACTAACTAACTGATAAATACAAAATGACATAAAAAGACATTCTTATTAATAAATTTGTGGTTTATTTATCTTGTTATATTATATTATTATTATTAAATTAACTTTTATTTAATAAAAATAAATATATTAATAAAAACATGCAAAACGGTTTTAATATATTTGAAGACTTTAAAATAGCATCAAAATATATTAAGTTTGTATATAAATGTTATAATAAAATTTAACAAGATACATGAAATTTGAATTCAGTTAAGTTAATCTAAAATAATGGTAAAAAAAATTATTGTTTAATATTCTATCATAAAAATATAATAAAATTTTAAATTTTCTTCATCTTAATTGAACTCATTGATATATATATATATATATATATATATATATATATATATATATATATATATATATATATATATATATATATATATATATATATATATATATATATATATATATATATATATATATATATATATATATATATATATATATATATATATATATATATATATATATATATATATATATATATATATATATATATATATATATATATATATATATATATATATATATATATATATATATATATATATATATATATAAAAGGTACTACATCCAATAGTAAGAATAAAATTTTGTTAAAATAATAAGGGTATAAATGTAAGAAAAAGTCACAAGCTAAAAGCTACAAGCTCAAAAGCTACTTTAAATCTATTATCTATTATCAATCTATTAAAAATAAAGTATCTGGAAATTCCAAGTCTAACCTTTTGATTAGATGTTATAACTTTTCTTATTCCAATGGTATAATAGACTAATCAACACTATGTTGTTACCATATTCATTTGACATTAAATATGGTTGATGTGGCACATCAAGAAATTTTGTTACATTTTATATTATTTTTATTCCAGTAATTACTTGAACGTTTCTGTTGCAACATTTATACTGACAGTGGAGTTTAAACAGCCAGCATAAGTATTTTGTTTTTGAAATGATAAACTCACGATTTACAACTCAAAAATTCTTTTCCCAAGATGCAAAAAGCCCTACATTTTTCGTTTCTCTTAACCTAGCAACTTATCATATTTCCCTTTCATTTCTTTCATTCTCTGCACAATTCATTTCTAATCACGCGTTCTTCTTTCACTTTATTCATTCATCACTATAACTTAATTTTCTTTCATTTATCGATCCTTCTCAACGCAGATAATTTTTCAATTTCTATTTCTATATTCTCAAGAAGGGAGAGAGAAGCAGGAATCAAACCAGACCCTGAGGTTGATGCTTTCATGAAGGTTATCGCATCATCAGGCCAAAAAACAAGTTTTGAAACTGATTATGTTCTCAAGGTTTGTACTTCTGATTCTATCATGATGTTTATGGTTTCAATTTTGTTGTTGAAAAGAGATGAAAGTGTGATGTTTTGTTGTTAAAAAGAGATGAAATCCCGATGTTTTGTTGTTTCGATTGTGTTATTGAAAAAGAGATGTAAGTGAAATTTATGAACATCAAATTAATTACTGTAAAATAGCCTACTAACTGTTCGATGAAATGTCTGTGTTGTTGTAGGGGTTTCAAATTTCCAGGAAATGAAGAAAATAATTATGACTTTACATGGAGTTATGAGAAGCAATATATTGAGAAATATATTGTGAAGCTTTAGATCTAACAATCTGGTACATTTAGTTTTTCGATATGCATTTTTGATGATTCTCTGATACTAATTTATGCGATGAAATTATATTCTTATTATTTCCCTATGTTTTTCTGTTATTGGAGTTATTAAGCTACTTTGCGGTTTTATATTTGGCCTGGAATGAGTTTTATCGTCAATAGTGAGGATAAATAATTTCATTCATGCTATTTTTTGCTGCAGATATTTAAATTTTACTGAAAAATGCTGGTATCTTTTCAGGTAAGCATGGTTATTGGTGATAGGGGTCTACTTACGTTTATACATGGAGCATGCACTATCACTTCTTGGTTTGTATTCTTTAAAAAAAACTATTGTTTTTGGTTTAAGATATAGAATGGTAAAAGTAATTGAGGTTCTGCATATATTGCTCATGTTTAACCCTACATATTGCTTAACTTAGTATGAGAGAAGATTTGGCTTAGATACCACTAACAATGCTAAGAAATAGATGATTAAATATTTAAATGAAAGAATTAGCATGTGATACATAAATTCTTTTGTAGGTTGTCGATAATGGAAGTGGGTATTTCTTTGGAGAAGAAGAGCCAAACGCGCTATGGATTATTGTTTTGATTTTCTGATCAAGTTGCAACTTTTGAGATGGTGAAAAGATTGTTGTTTTACCGTCGCACATCAAGTGTTCGATGAAATGCCCCAGCTGGATTTCTTCTTCTTCTTTCTTTTGGTAATGTGATCTCAAGAGTTCAACTCCCTAAAACTCTTCACAAAAAACCTTTTTATTCATCATCATCAAAATCTCTTACAATTTTGCTTTTCATGGAACCCTTTTTAAGTGTGATATTTTTGAAGCATACATCATATTTGTTTTCTTACATGATAACTGTTGTTGCATTTTGCAGCATTATAGATTGTTCCAGTTCAAGAAGTTTCGTTCTTTGTTGTCAGGAAAAGAAAAGTTAGGTCAACTGACTCAATACTTATTTTCATGATGTATCCAAATGCCTTATTGATAGTTATCCTCATGTTGCATCATCACGATTCATACCAGAAGACCTTTGAGATGTATAATGCCCACATTCATCTTGAAAAATGATTTCAAACCAAGGTATTTTTTGATTCAGAAGGATTGAAACAATACATGATATGCCTATAAATCTAAATACAACTATTTATTTGTATGAGATAGAATCCACGAGTATTATATATTTATGTTTATTTTAATTTTGAAAATTGCAATGCATTGCAGAGTTATTTGAAATTTGAGCAACCTTCTAAAATGTTAGCCCGGGTTATAATTCTATACGAGTGAATAAATATCCTTCTGCAGTTCTGGAGAAACAAAGGTTTACTAGAAAATTTCCTATGTGTAAAGCTGGTATCATTGACATACAGTGCTATTTAATTTTCATAATTACATTTGAAGAATTAGTAGCATTGAACTTTCATTATTTGTTTTATTTTCCGTAGCAATCAACTGATAGTGGTATATGAAACATTAGAACTTAAAGATTGTTGTCACAAATACAAGTCTATCTCAAATATTCATAATTCACATGTCATTTTTAAATTGTAGAATATATAAGTTCATACTCTATTTATAAAAATCTTTTGAAATTTTGTTGTCTTAAGGACAAATTGAGATGTCTATAGGCACAAAAATGAGATGTTTTCTCAAAGGGTCAAATTGTTTACTTATAAGAACAATATTAAATGACATGTGAATTTTCCTTGCAGGTTATTTTCTACATAGTGCTAAAGGGTCAAAGTGTGTGCTTAATTTAGGTAATATGGTTTAAATGAAAATGATTGACTAAATTAAAAAATAATTAGATGTTAAAGTGATTATAAAATAAACTGATAAGTAATAAAATAAAAGAATTTATTAATATATTTTTAGAGATTCTTAAGATTCATGTTGATATTTTACCTATTTGCTTTATGTTGAGGCACACTAGCATAATCATTTTATTGTTTGGTTATGACCCGAATGTTATTTATTTGTTTGTTGAAGTCTTTCATGTATTGGCAGCCTATGAATCATATGAAATATATTTAATTTTTTTGTGTTGTTTTTGGTGATATTTTCAGGGCTGAAGATGTTGTCATTCGATACTTGAATCACAAAGCTGTTGGAAGAGATGTTCCGGAAGGTAGTTAAAAGATGCTTGCTCCATGACAGTCCAATTTAATTATGTGATTTTCTTTACAAGTTTCTTTGTTGGTGGATGACACAAAGGTCTTTGTTTATATGACTTATAATTTATATGAACAATTGAACAATTTTACTTATAACTTATTTTGCAGAATTGAAGTGGATTAAAGAAGAAATGGTTTCAGTAGAAAAAATTACACACTTCATACGCATATCCAGAAAATGGTCAACCACCTCATTTTGCTCCTTAACCTGAGGAGATTATTTTAACTCATGTTGAGAATGAAAACAATCATGGTCATGTTGAAGTTGTAAAAGATGTGGATAATGATGTACATGTTTGTGATGTTATGACAAACTGTTGAGGTTCAAGTTCTTGCCACTCCAGTTGTTTGGGTTGTCGGTAAACCAAATGAAAAAGTCGCGACACTCATGATTCAGACCACTTTTCATGGATACTTGGTATTTATCTTGCAAACTTCTACTTAAATTTATCTCTGTTTTGACAAACAACATAAACATTTATCATATGGTGATATATAATTTATTTCTATAACAAAAGATAAAAACAAAAGTCAGATTGTTTCTATATACGCCATAAGTTGTTTTTATAAACTATCTTGGAGAGCTTGTGGAAATAAGTTGAAAATCACTTATGGATATGTCATAAATTGTTTCCATAAACTTTGTCAAACAGTCTCTCGAGTGTTTATGTTAGTAGATAAGTTCAAATAATGGGAAGTTATATTATCATTAGTGGTAATCAACAATTGCTGCCAAAGAAACCCTATTAATTTCTACAAATTACTAATTTCAAGTTGTTTCTCAGGCAAGAATCAACAAACTCGCCATAGCCAGCATCATCATGCCACAACCGCTTATACCTCCATAATCTCTATCGTGTACCTCTCTTTCTCTTTCAAATTTGACTATTATTTTACAATTTTGATTTTCCCAATTATTTTCCCTTTTAATTTTTTCAACACATGAGTATAAGTTTTTCGTTTTTTTATCGTTTATGAACATGAGTAGATTTTCCCTTATTGGTAGAACATTGTTTATTCATGAATTTGTTCGTTAGAAAGTCTACAAGATCTTACACTGAAATCACCGAGGAAGGAAACTGATTTGAATGTCAGTGAGAATTTTTGCTTGCTATGCACTGCAGATAGGAAGAAGTGTAAAGTTTAGTACGACAATGACACATTCATTGTCATTATAATCTGTTAATAGGAAGAAGTGAAAAGTTTAGCTCGACTGTCAAAGCGAAGTCGATGTCAAGTACAATACTTGGATAAAATTTGTTCCCGATATGATGTAGAGATGAAATCAGTTCTCGATATAACATACATATCATCTTAAGTCGCTCTAAATAATCACCTGACTCACGCTTTGAGTTGAGCTTACATTTCGATATGTGTTACAATTAGTTTTATCAATTTAAATGGCAGGTATATGCACGTAGATATGTAGACCACATGTTATAGTAAAATAATTTATCACATCTATGGACACATACTAATAAATTTACATGTTGTTTGCTACTATCCTATCACTCACTGTGAACATTTGTAGATTTGTAAGTGGATCTTTAGGTCGATTATGCTATGGAGGTAAGTTAAGAAGATCATGTCGTTAAAAGATTAGCTGTCTTGGAGGATATAATGCTGGTATAATTGTGAAAGCACGTGTTGGAAACATTGTTGAGTAGTGATTACATGATGGTGTGTTTTGTTGTATGTTCATTTTGTGACTATGTGTGTGATTGTTAAGCATAATGTATGTAAATCTCAATAAAAGCATCAAATTCTCAACACTGTTTGTTTTTGCAATATTAAAATGTATTTTGTGTATAAAGACATTATAAGGACATTAGTATCACCACGTCCGGTAAACATCCAGTTACGACATCAAGATCTTTGGTTTATTTGAAAGGTGAAAAGCCTCCATTGAGATATTCATGTAACATAATGTTGATTTCTAGAAGCTTCCGATATGAAGTCATTGCGTATGATGATGTCGAGGCTTTAGTCATATCAACACTTAGTCGAAGGCAAGCTATTCATGTAAGGCTACCAATTTGATGTGTCATAATTAATTACTATATTCGAAATTCAATATATGTTGAGTGACTATATGATTAATAAAAAATATTTTTTACTTTTTTCAATCAAAATTAAGTGTTGTCTTTCCATATCTATTTTAGTACAAATTTAATTGGAATACACTGACGATATACAGAAATTTTACACCGTCAGTTAATCACAACTGTTGATTTGTTTAAAATGTTTGACATTTGTTTTAATTTTTTTTAAAGTAATAAAGTTGAGTGATCATGATATGTTGGTGTAAAAAAATTTACACTGACAGTGCATAACAATTAAACTCTTTTAATATTTATTTCGAGATAAATCAACTCCTTATCAAAAATGAATGTTTTTGCATTATCTACAATTTAAAAGTAATAAAATAAATTTAGTTTACTTAATTAAATTTTATTGAACCATTAAATTGCATGTATAGATCCACGGGTAGATGTGAACGTCTCTATGAGATACTGATTATAGACTGTTCATTTTAATGTTTATCTTTTAAATTCATTGTTGTTTCATATTAATTCACTATAGAATTTATTTTTGACTAAATTGTAGAATCTTTTTAACATTAAAGACTTAATATAAAGACTTAATAGTTTCTTGGTCAAGTATATTAATCTAATATTTTTTTCATTTCTATTTTTATTCTTTAATGTTGTGTACAAGGAAGTCTTTCAAGCACTTTGATAGTTGGTAAACTTTATATCTTATACTTTACAATTCAAATTAAAAATCTATTTTGAATTAAAATATATAGTATGTACATTTTCCATGTATTTCAAGAAGTATATAATTTTTCCTATTTGTTCATGCAGACATGATTTGTTGATAGGGCCGACGCTTGCTACAAATATGGAGTTAAATGCCAACATGGTTTACATGAGACATATACTCAACTGAAAACATGGTAACATACTTAATAATTTAATAATCTATAAATGTAATGTGAATCCAGACGAGACCCGTGCGATAGCACGGGTTTGTTACTAGTAGTTTTAAAAAAAGAAGCTAAAAGCTAGTAAAAAAGCTAAAAGCTAAAAACAATGATCAAATAGAGCTTTTTTATTTATGTGACTGAAAAACTAAAAGTTAAAAGCTCTTTTTGTGGTCTTACCAAAGAGACTCTAAGATATCACTAAATATTAAGTTAGGACATGTTGTGTATTGAGAATTTATTCGGTCACTCCTCGATAATCAGATTTATTATGATACCTCTCTAAATTCGATTATACTCATTACTTTTGATCAAATTTTAGTTAAAAAGAGTGGACGAAAAATCTACCGTGCATCTAAAGATGAAGTACTACATTTCGAAAGATCTCGTCACCAACCTCCACAAGGATATAGAAGCTGCGAGGAGATGCTTCGAGGCATCCTCCAAAGGGCTAAACTCCATCAGAGCAACGCCCAGAACAATCGATGATTCTTCCCCATCCAACAGCTCAGAGGAGCCAAAGTGCTGCCACACGTCAACACGACTGACTTGGACAACCGTTTCACGAAGGATGATCTCCGAGATCAGAAGAAGAAGAGGAAAGAAGCCCGATTGACTAAAGAAAGCTCCTCAACATCAATGAACAATGAGGAACTTGCACATCCCCCACGACCAATATTAGATGGGGAATTCAAGATCATCCCCCTCGGCAGCAACCCCGGCAAAGGAGTAAAGATCGGGACCGGTCTCCCCGACCTAGCGAGGAAGCAGCTAAAGGCGTGCCTGAGAGAGAATGTAGATGTTGCATTGAGCTCCGCTGAGATGCCCGATCTGAATTTAGAGATAGCATGTCACCAGTTGACAATAAACCCCGCTGTTAAGGCAGTTGCCTAATATAGGCGAAAGTTACTTCTGAAATAAATGAAGGTTGCCAAACAAGCTATAAAAGACCTCCTACAGGAAAAATTCATTTGTGAAGCTCAATACACAACATGGCTATCTAACGTTGTACGTGTAAAGAAATCTAAGGTAAAATGGTGAACACGTGTTGATTATATAGATCTTAATAGGGTTTGCCCCAAAGATGTTTATCCCCTTCCCAACATAGATAGATTACTTGATAATTTTGCTGGTTTTAAACTATTATCTTTCATGGACGTATATTCTGGTTACAATCAGATTCTCATGGCAAAAAGCAACAAAAAATACACGGCCTTCATGATCGAATCGGGAAATTATTACTACAACATAATGCCCTTCGGCTTGATAAATGTTGGCGCCACATACCAAAGGTTGATGAACAAATTCTTCCGAGCAGAAATTAGAGAAATGCTTGAGGTCTATATAGACGGCATGATCGTGAAATCCCAAGAGGAATCCAACCACACGCTCTGCCTAAAAAAGGTGTTCGACCAAGCAAAGAAGTGTAAAATGCGATTCAACCCAGAGAAATGCACCTTCGACGTACGGGCAGGAAAATTCCTCGGATTCTACCTAACAGAGCGAGGAATTCAAGCCAACCCAAACAAGTCCAGGGCATTCTCTGAGTTTCCAATGAAAAAATTAAAAAAAATCAATTCAATCTTTGAACGGGATGCTCAACTCGTTATCTCGCTTTGTGGCAAAATCTTCCCATCACACCCCTTTTCAAACTTCTTCAAAAAAAGCAGCATTTGAGTGGACCGAGGAGTGTGAGTAAGCCCTCATCCACCTCAAACAAGCACTCTTGCAGCCACTGGTCCTTTCACTACTAGATAATGGAGAAATTCTCTACCTCTATCTCGTCGTCGCATTCGAGGCTGTTAACGCGGTTCTCATCTGGGAAACCCCTGAGGGGCTACTTTACGAGCAATACTCTACAAGTCCCAAAGCTCATATATTAGCAAATAGAAAAGGTGGCTTTGACCAAATGTGTGTGCTCGGGTACAAGAACAACACCTTGAATTTAGAAAAAAAGAAGAGTTTCCTCTCTTTAACGAGCAAACACTCAGTCTGGCAGGAAAAACTCAAACGAGCTCCACCGTCGCGTACCACAATGGAAAAACACCCAGCTCGCCATGAGAAGTTCACGCTGCAGAACATAAATCCCAACAACGAGACCTGAGCTTCACCCCTTCCTGGGAAACAATCTCGACCATTCAAGTAGTTCCCCGCACTGTCAAATACTAATACCTTCGAGCAAAACTCCACTAAAACTTAGTGAAAATAACGAATTAAACAACTAAAAGCATGCACGAACAAATAAAGGGAGATACGAGCATAAGTGAAAATAAAAACAAAATTAAACTTTGAACTTCCACAAGGACCTTCGTTGTTGGGATATTACATAAGGAAGGCCAAGCCCCCACTCAAAAGAAACAAAGCTAAAACGGCCACGAGAATCGAAATTGTCAGGATATTACATTAATTGGGCCAAAGCCCCCAAAAATATTACAAAAACAAACGGCACGCAGGCCGACCAAATACAAATGACAAAAACTTAGTCAGTGGAATGTTGCCTTTTTTCCTGGTTGGGCTGCTTGTTCCTTCCATCTTCTCCGCCAAGGTTGAGGAAATCGGGGACGACAATCTGCTCGTCGACCATGCTATAGAGGAACCTGGTTCTGTCCATGTTAAGCTCAACATCAGGGTTCATAATCCTAAACTGATCCACCGCATTGTTGAAGCTATCCTCGCCAATTGCCACGCAGTATTCCTCGACCAGACGAAGGCAAGCAACCAACTCGGCACGACCTTAGCCTCGAGCTCCTTTTGGTCAGATTTCAGCCTGACCACCTCTTTATTCTAGTCGATCCATGCTGCTTTCTGCTTTTCCAACTCTTCTTTCTCATAAGTGAACTTGGATATTCTCTCCTCGAGGGT